TATCACGATTAATAGTGGGCACACCGCGGCTGACGCTGACTCCCATACAACTATAATTAATCAAGGGCTGCAAAGCGATTTTTTGCTGGATTTGTGTTTTATTTAGGTCAGATTATTAGGTGACGATGCAATTTTCTAAATGATACTTACGAATACCTACCATAATCGTCACCAATCTTAAGTTACTGTGAGATTTACTTGTTTGTTTAAATTTAATAAATAAATAAAATTTATATCAATTTAATAGGTTGCTAGTTATACTGAGCTATTTATACTGTGTATATTAATACTTAGTTGCTGAGCGAGAGTCATTTGAATTGCCGCCGTAACACAGTTTCTCTTAACAGGTAGTGTTTTTACTTTGGTACTTTTAAAAGCACGAAAACTAACAAAGTTCAGAGATTGTTTGTTAAAAAGATACCATTTTTTTAATGTAATATTTTCTGAATAAATGTAGTATATTCTATTCTAATTAAATATTATAAATATGATGAGATTAATTACTTACTGGTCTAGCTATTTAGCACAGCTTAGCCTTACTTCCGATGGTCGCGGATTTAATTCCTCGCACGGTACAAAAATTTGTATTCATGAGTACGATTGTTTGTATTGGTTCGGGTGTCTTGTATTTATTATATTTTATTATGTATGTATTCATAAAAAAATGTATATAAATATTTGTATCAATTGTCTAGTTCATAAGACAAGCTCTGCTAAACTTAGGACTAGATGGCACTGTGTAAATTGTGTGTGTAAATCGACTAGTCTTATTATTAGTACTTGCACTTCACAGAAATGTAAACGTTTTTATGATATCATCATCATTACATAGTGTAAAACAAAGTCGCTGTCGCTGTCTGTCCGTCCCTATGTGTGCTTAAATCTTTAAAACTACGCAACGGATTTTGAAGTGGTCTTTTTAATACATAGAGCGATTCAAGATGAAGGTTTATATGTATAATATATATACACCCGGGCAAAGCCGGGGAGAGTAGCTAGTTATTAATAATATACTACTTCCATATAATATAGTAATATAACCAGATTACACAAAGAATGAGTGCGCAGCGGTTTCTATGTTGATTATCGCATGCCTCATACTTGTTACTATGTATTTATTTATTTAAAACAATATTTATTTAGATTCTTGTTCAGTCTTCTTGTGATGAGCATTCCGAATGAGTGATAGAATAAAAAAATATGACTATTCAATAGTGCTTATACAGGGGCGGATCGGGAATTTGTGGGGCCCTGGGCTAAATCTACTTAGGAGCGAACCTAATTATATTATTCAACTAAAAAGATACTCCGACCAAAAATAAGCGACCAGAAATTTTTCGTGTCTTTCTATAGACGCGACTTGCATGGGTTTTTTTTTATTAAATATTTTACGGCCTTGGAAATTTCCTTTCAGCCAAACAATTACATTGTACAATACTCAGGGCTGCCACCCTTGCGATAGGTTTTTTAACATTCTAGATATTTTTTTATATTCTAAATATCGTTTCAGTGGACTTGTATTCTAGGGGCCCTATCCTATAGCCCAAAAAGCCCTTAGGTAGATCCGCCCCTGTGCTTATATTACGTTTATTTCAATAAAGATTATTTATATTTCTATTATATGTCTTGTCTATATGCAATACTACTTTTGCCCGCGGCTTCGCTCTCGTTTTTATCTTCTCTTTCCCCTTGGGGGTAGAATTAATCAAAATCCTTTCTTAGCGGATGCCTACGTCATAACATCTACCTGCATGCCAAATTTCAGCCCGCTCCGTCCAGTGGTTTGGGCTGTGCGTTGATAGATCACTACGTCAGTCACCTTTGAGTTATATATATTTAGATTTAGTCTGGTTTGAAATTTATTTAGTCTTACTTATTTGAAATTTTCCCCCACAAAAGCGGTCACGGTAGGGTGAGCAACACTCAAGTTATTAATTAAAAACCGATAATCTTGCTCGAGCAATAATAAGCGTTTTGAAAGCTCTAAGGAAAAACTTTGTGTGTCATCCGAGTTACGCTATAAGTTTTATTTTTTTATTAATATGTTTTACGGCTCTGGATACAAGTCCTTTTTAGTCCAACTTAACAAGTACTCGAATTCACCGCAACTCAAGTTGACACATCTATATATATATCTAGTAGGATTCAACTCATGTACGTATAGCATGTCGCAATTGTCTCCACCTAAATCTTGTACACCATTGATTGGATTTGTACATGCACCGAATTGGATTTAATTTGCAATATATTTAGGCAATCAATTGTGCTACCTGCCGTCACTGCAGCCGTTCAATTAAACGGCGTCGGAGTCGGCTAGACTGGGACATTCAAATTAGGTGACTGAGCAAATCAGGCAAGTCTGGCATGTTAATAGATACCAACACAATACGTCTTATCTGCATATACATAGGATCTATCTATATATCTCTACCTATATCTCTCTGTCTATCTCTGATCTGTCTGTCTAATTGGTAGTATGTATTCACACAGTTTAATTTAAAAATGTAAAGTAAGAATAAAATTATTTAAAAGAGCAACACGCAAGTTTCTTGCTCGTTCTTCTTGTGATGAGACAGCTTTCCGAATGAGCGGTAGATTAAAAAAATGTAATGACTATTCAAAAGTGCTTCAATGTAAGTTTATTTGAATAAATGATTTTCTATTTCTATTCTATTCTAAAAATTGGGAATATTTTTTTGATTTGGCGAGATTTTTGTAAAATTTTTATTATAATTTTTCATTATCAGTAAGAAAATTGTGAAAATGTCCATTTCTGAAATAAGATATGGAAAAAATTAACGCAAACTAACTTTACGATAGTGTTCGACTGTATTCACAAATGGATGTTGCTATACTAATCGTTTATTGTGATATTGTTCCATGGTCGTAAAATGACATTGCAATCGTATTCGATGATTTAACTGACTTTAATGTTACGGCAAAAGTAAATTATATTTTTATTTGATGATCATTTTTAGTTGTTATGATGGTAATAGCCACTTACTGGAGGGAGAGGATTGTTAGTAATGTGGACTAATGACCCCATTGCTAGCAATGTACCATGTCAGGTCGACCTCCACGCGGTTCCCCCTGGAAACCATCGTGATAAATTCCCGGTGAATTTGTCACGTTGGGCTAACTGATCTGACTTCATGTACATCTTATCATTCTCCACTGGTGGGCCAGCGTAAACCGTTAGCGCAGGCGGTACACCATTCCATTATAATCCGCTAAAAAAAAATAGCCACTTACTCTAAAATGTTGACTTTTGAGATTTTTTAACAGGTTTTTGAGTTATTGATCGTAAAAATTTTTCACTCACGTTGTCGTTGAACAAAAACATAAAGATCATTATTGAATGGATAAATCCAAAAGTATTCATCGTCCGATCTTAAAAAATATCTCGAATGATGTAATAGGGTGTGTAGGTAACGAATCTTTAATAAACCCGATTCTATCGTAAAGTACGATTATTAATTCCAGTCAGTAAATTGACAAGTGCAACTGTCACTGATACAAAAAAGGGTGACCATAGGTGACAATAGTGATGTTCGGCCATCAATAGACTTAGACATTTAGTCATACTTTATTTTATTAGGTATCAAAACCTTTTTTTTTTAATTTTTAATATATAATACATATCGTATTAAACATGAATATGGTCCTTACCAGGAAGGCATTGGATGCGAGCAGCGCAGGACCGATCGTCGTGGAGATTTTTGGGGGAGGCCTATGTCCAGCAGTGGACGTCTTCCGGGCTGCGATGATGATAATGATGATGACCTTACCAGCATATTAAAATTTCTCACTATAACATTATTACAAAAGCTGGGAAAAAATGTAAAAAGAGATTCAGAGAAATTAATACTAGAATTTTTATTTATATAAAGGCAAATTGATATTGATTAAAAAAAGTGTAATCTCGACTAACTTTTAATTATAAAAACTCGATTCTACCACATCACTATTTATTTGGGACTAAAACCTTGCAACACTGGAAATGTCATTTTACTGACTGGAATTAATAATCTTACTTTAGTAGCGATTACCACAGTCGTCGGGGGCGGCGATGTTATTCCGATGTACATATATATAAACTAAAGTAAAGTTTTTTATCGGACTACACTAACGCTTTACAGCTTCACCGGACGATAGGCGAGTGCAAATGCACTCCAAACCTTATGGATACTTATGGAGCGGCTGTAGGCCAACTCCCGCCTGACGGATACTACTTCCGTCTGAGGGCACCGCTAGGGGTTCAAACCTCGGCTCAGGCCGTCGTAATTTCGATCCCCGTTTGAATTGGATGGGGGATCGATCGGAAGGAATTACTGTAAAATCCGATCAGTAGTTTTTGCCTGAAAGAACAAAACTTTCGCGTTTATACTATTAATAGGATATATTTTTTAATAATTTATTTAATTCAGGATTCATGGCCTATATTATAAATATTATTATATACTAATATACATACTCGCAATTCATGTCATATTATAGAATAGAAATTAATTTATTTAAATAAACATAATTTAAGCACGAATTTTGATGAAATTTTAAAGCAATATAGCATATACATCAGAATAACATTAAGTTATAAATTTCACGCGAGTAAAACCGCGAGCACAGCTAGTAGAATAATAATTTAAGTTACTAATAAGTTAACAACAAATAACCGATTTAAAACGGACCGCGTCGTAATAAAAAAATGTGTACTAGTAATATTTTTACTATATAATTAGATTATTATAATATGCTAAAAAATATTCCAAATTTAATCATCATTTATCATGTAGGACATTTTCCATGCACGCTCGTCATTCAAGTAATCGTTTAGTGAGTAATAACTGGCTGTGCTTAGTGAATATAATTTAACAGATGTTTTAAATTTATGTAAGCGTAATTCAAGTATATGCTTTGGTATTTTATTGTATGTTTTTATACCTATTCCCATAAAAGACCTATTGACTTTTTTTAAACGTTAGTTTTTCTTTCGTACACAGATGCAAGAGTTTCCAAAATACTAAGCGAGGCGAGGTGTGCCGCATCCCCGGGTGTACGGTAACGCCATCTGTCGGCGCGCAGCCTACACCGATACGTATGCCACACGTCCAACCGGAGACATTTCGATTGTTTATACAATATGTTTATACTGGAAAGGTTTGTAACCTTAATTCTCGTCAATTACAATAATTACTTATTATATTATATTTTAAATAGATTTTTAAACGATAATACTGTTAGGAAACTGCTTTTAATTATATGTAATATAGTTTTATATTCTATGTAAAATTAAATTACGTCAGCGCCATCTAGCAGCGAGTAGTAGAAGTATTAAACCATATACTTTTCTTGCTAAATGAAATTTACCTTGCAGTATTCTATAGTTTATAAATTCGTACTAAAATGAAAAGTATATTTTTTATTAATTTATGTAATGTGACTTTATTAACTGTTCTATTATTAACTAAAACTCACATTCATGAAGACGGAGGTCCTTTAAGATAATTGTGCTTTTTAAATTTATTAACTAAGGCGCTCACTAGATGGCGCAAATTAAGAAAACTGCGAATTAATATTTTCAAACAAATAATTTTAATGTTTAAGAAATATTAACATTATATACCTTTAAACATATTACGGCATCAATCTCTTGACACTAAAAATAATTGCCAATAATGATTCAATTGGCAAAGTTATTTCGTATAATATATGTGATATATGAAACATGCAAACATACAAACACAAGCAATATTTTCAAAGCATTTATTTTTCTAGTAATTCAGATATAAAAACGAATTGTTAACAGTTACTCCTTCAAGATTCTGGAGTATTTGAGATGATGACTCTGGCGGCTGATCTAGGAGTTGAAGATTTGCGTGCAGCTTGCGAAGATCATGTTACATCAACGCTTAGTGTAGAAAGTGCCTGTACTTTATTAGCTGCTGCTATGGAAATTCAAGATCGGCCAGGTAAAACTTATTGAATTTGAAAGTATTCATTAATTTCGATTACTTATACCAGATGCGATGGTGGTGTAATGGTCAGCATAGTTGCCTTCCAAGCAGTTGATCCGGGTTCGATTCCCGGCCATCGCACACTTTTTGTTCTAGTATACAATATTTTTAATGTTAATTCAAACGTATGTTGTTTCTCGATTGATATTACTCTCATATTTAAATAAAATGATTATATTGACATCAAAAATATGTGCTAAAATAAATATTTTAGCACGCATTTTTAAAATTACATTCATCTTTTAAAAAAATTATCTTTTAAATATTTAAAATTAAAATTACATCACAGTTATTACAATTTACATTACATATTATTACATAACTTAAAAATATTTAATACTTATATTAAACGTTATTGTAAATGTATATTAAACTCGTTTTTTTTTTTTTACTAAAACTAGTGACAAAAAAATATTTGTGTTCTGTTATCTACCACAAATGTACTAAACGTCTATGGTCAATATTAAGAAAAAATAATATCGCAGTGAAATTTTTAGTTGAAAGAAGATTGTGCTATTTAGTTACTTATTTATTATGCTAAGTTTGAATTCGTGCTGATAATAAAACTCGGAAGATCAAATATTTGATAATATTCGGGAAGCCATAACACATATTTTCGCGGATGATAGTGAGAAAAAAATAAATAAATAAAAAAAATGGCATGAACCTACAGCCTATGAATGATAAGGGCGTAAAATAAAAAAAAAATAATGCTCATCCGAAAAAATAATTAAATAACTATTATGTAGGCACGACACGTATTTCATATATATATATTAATATATATAAAATACGTGTCGTATATTAATATATATAAAGAATATCAGCGAAATCATATTCATGTGAATATAGATTGATGAAATAATAAAGTGTAAGATGTAACACGTGTTGAAACCCAATTGAAACCCAACCTGCAAACCGATGAGCTCAAAAAATATAATGTAAATGCAAAATAGTAAAAATTAATATATGCATTACAAGTTTACATCAATATTTATTATTTCGCAGTCATGATTTATAGAGATGGAATAATTTGAAAAAAAGATCTGGCAACACTTCGCGCTCTCGCCTCTGGCGGCCATGTTGGTTTGTCTATGAAAGTAGCGTTGTTCTCGTTTTTCTGACATATCGAAGAGAAACCGGCTTTGCCGCTTTTATTTTGCAATTTTTCCTTTATTGTGTTTAAGAAAAATATATAAAAATGGCTTATAAGGGCCCACCGAAAGTACAGAAGGTGATGGTACAACCCATAAACCTTATCTTCAGATATTTACAAAACAGAAGTAGAGTGCAAATTTGGTTGTACGAGAATGTTAATTTGAGAATCGAGGGTCACATCGTGGGCTTCGACGAATACATGAACATTGTTTTGGATGATGCAGAGGAAGTTCATATGAAGTCAAAGAACAGGAAGCAGATAGGAAGAATAATGATGAAGGGAGACAACATAACGCTCATTCAAAATGTGAATCCGAACGCTACAGTGTGAATTGTTAGGTTATGATAAACAATAGTGTGAAGAATGTAAAATAAGGATTAAGTGCGAATACAAACACCGTTTACTAATCTGGTGATTTTCATTAAATTTTAAGGTTTAAACAATTGGCTTTTATTCCATATCCTTTTCTAAAACAACACGATACTTACATATTAATAATATGAAACTGAAGAATAATATACTCTTTATAAAAATGTAGTTATCAAGAACTAAGGTTTTAAATGAAACTTCACGAGGTCTACCTGCACATAGCTTATTTCCATAGTAGTGATTTAGTCTAATAAATTAAATATAAATATAGCCCTAAAATCATATAATACATAGTTATAGTATTCATATCTAAGTCAGTTATCAACTGTGCAAATGGGCAACAGATGTTTATCATTATATACTATAGGGTAATTGCAGTACTGTTGTACATGTTGTAAATAATAATAGAATAGATCATGTTTGATACTTGCCAAGTATGAGTTTGTAAGCTATAGGCCTTGGTCTCTGCTACAAGAATAATACTACCTATTAAATAAAATTGTAATAATATTTTTCATAGAGTAAACATACATTTGCAGTTGATATAAAATATAATGTCTACTAATAATTTATTCTAATAAAAATATCTCAATATGTTGTGAAAATAAAATGATCTTCAATTTTTTATGTGAGTATATTTCTAAGTATTTATTTAACTATTATTAATATTATTTAACACTAAATAAGCTGTTCTTTATAAGATTTATAAAGATGAATGAATAAGAAATTAATGAATCTATCTTGTCAGAGATTTTGTTGTATATTTTAGATTTCTGTATACATATATAATAACATCATTTGTAGTACTCTAAACTCTGAAGTTATGAATGTTGGAAGTCTATTGCATAAATGACTAATATGAAAAATAGAGTAGAGAATAACATGTGGAGTTAATCCAGCGAATTGACAGTTAAACGTGACGCAGTAATTTGTGAATATTTTTAAGCAATTTATTTGTGAATATACTCGAAATAAAATTACTTTAGACTAAATGATTATCATAGTCAAATGAGTAGTGTAGTCTAGTGTTAGTGTATTATATAATTGAACAATCTGATTCCTGTAAATTCCTCTACATAACATTTCTTCAATTTTTGCTACATTTTTCATAGCAGCTCTGCTCCTACAAATCATAGTGTGAATAGAATAGAATAGAAAATCATTTATTCAAATAAACTTAATTTAAGCACTTTTGAATAGTCATAACAATTTTTTATATCTACCGCTCGTTCGGAAAACTGTCTGATCACAAGAAGAACAAGCAAGAGACTTGTGTGTTGCTCTTTTAAATAATCCTTGTAAGTTTACATTTACAAGTCGAAACATGTGAATACAAACTACCAACCAGCACAAATTTTTTGGGTTAAATATAAATATACAAGAATATATTTATAATAAGATTAAATCAGTCCTAGTGATACGAGCAGACCAGTTCGTACAAGCAGCACTCGTTCACGAGTATGACGAATGAGCCAGCCATCACTGCGCTCGACTATATTTTAGGGAGCCCAATGACCTGATTTTATGTAACCTATAGCCTTCCTCAATACATGAGCTATCCAACACTAAAAAAAATCAAAATCTGTATAGTAGGTCCAGAGAATACCCATATAATTTCACAAACTACCTCTTTATATTACTAGTATAGATTACTTGTAGTTATTCTCAATAATTACAATATCACCATTTATAGAACCACTTACAATGTTCCAGGTGGCAAAAGCGCATCATCATTTATGGAGAGGTGTATTGCATTCATTGGAGAGAATGCTGCAGACTGTGTCAAAACTAATGCCTTCCTCAACCTGCCCAAGGAAGCTCTCATCAAGCTTATATCATCAGACTTTGTTAGTACCTATTTTTACAGGTTTTCTGAGAATTTTGTTGAGTATACTTATTTATTAAATTAATAGTTTGTTGAAGGTTGGTCACATATTATATGTTTATTAGGAAAATTACTTGTTTTATAGATTTTAATGTGTGGATAGTAAATTGGTTGTCTTGTAAACTTTCAGTAATTTCACTAATATATCATTTAATGCAGTAACTGGCTGTGTCATGCGTCGTATTTGTAACTTGTAGGAATGTATCTTGTTGATTTATGTTATGTTTATTATATCCAAGTTATTTAACATTACGCTACGACCAATAGAACCGAAGCATCAGTGAAATACTCTGATAAAAACGGGTAAAATTATTCATATTTCCGTTGCGTGCACTGCGCGAACAAGTTGTACAGTTAGTAAATCTAAATATACATATATAACTCAAAGGTGACTGACATAGTGATCTATCAACGCACCGCCCAAACCACTGGACGGATCGGGCTGAAATTTGGCATGCAGGTAGATGTTATGACGAAAGCATCCGCTAACAAAGGATTTTGATTAATTCTACCCCCAAGGGGATAAAATAGGGGATGAAAGTTTGTATGAAACTTTGTCAATTTAAAACCGATCGGGCTGAGGCTTGGCATGCATAAAGCTATTATGACGTAGGTATCCCCCTAAGAAAGAATTTTGATAAATTCCACCCCTAAGGGGATATATTAACGCGAGCGAAGCCGCGGGCAAAAGCTAGTAATATATAAAACATGGTAAGATCCCGTAATTTCTTCTTACGTATGGTGTGTGTGTGTTGCGTTGCTGTCAGCTGTGCCTGGAGGAGGAGGAGGTGTGGCGGTGCGTGCTGGCGTGGGCGAAGCAGCGCGCGGGCGTGACGCAGCCCACCGCGCACTGGGCCGAGGAGGAGCGCGCGCGCGTGCTGCTGCACCTCGCGCCCCTCATGCACCACGTGCGCCTGCTCCTCATCGGTACGTACCACGGCACGTCGTCCAACGTCGCCCGAAGCACGTTCTCATTGACCCCGACGACCCCATAACGGCAGGTAACCTCCCACGGGCCCACCCATTCCACCCCGACCACACTTTTACCCACACACACGACACCGTCCTCGCCGGCGAAGACGATGACCTCAAACACACAATATCGCGCATTCAACCGGGCGCTCCACACCGGCGCCTCCGGGCGCCCCTCCGATCGATCCCCCATCCAATTCAAACGGAGATCGAAATTACGACGGCCTGAGCCGAGTTTCGAACCCCTAGTGGTGCCCTCAGACTAAAGTCGTATCCGTCAGACAGGAGTTGGCCTTCAGCCGCTCCATAAGACCTTCCGCGGGTTTGGAGTGCCATCTGCACTCGCCCCCTATCGTCCGGTGAAGCTGTAAAGGCCAGCTGCGGCCAACAGCATTAGAGTAGTCCGAAAAAAAAAACGCTCGTCGTCACCAAGCAGCACTGGACCGAGGAGGAGCGCGCGCGTGTGCACGCCCCCTCATGCACCACGTGCGCCTGCTCCTCATTGGTACGTACCACGGCACTTCCATATCTCTCCAAGTGGCCAGAAGTTTCTCGATGCTTTGGCATGATTACAATGACGCCACACCTAAAGGTAAGTGACAGTCGTCAAATGACCAAAAATAATTTATTCATGTAGGATTTTGGCCGCTTATGAACGTCAAGTTTTTTGTGTTGCTGTAAGTTGGTGTTAAGAAATGGCAAGAAATTCAACTTAATCTCTTTTTTTAAGCTAGTTTATTTAGTAGACTATATAGGTGTATATGTCTGACATACAATGAAAATCCCGCATGAAAAACTATATGAACTACAATTGCATGTTGCATGCGATGTTACGCTCACGCATTTCTATTTAATAAGACTATGGAATAGAAATACATGAAAATTAAAATATAAAGCGTACGGGACAAAATGGATGTGTGTGTGTTTGTGTGTATGTGTTTCAGATAGCGCAGTGTTCGCGGAGGAGGTGGAGCCGACGGGCGCGGTGCCCATGGAGCTGTCGCTGGAGCGCTACCGGCGCGCCGCGCTGCTCGCCCCGCGCCCGCCCGCCGCCGCAGACCGCCCGCGGTAACACCCACCACCACCACCACCACCCTCACCACCACCACCACACTCACCACCACCACCACACTCACCAACACCACCACTAATTCCAATATTTATTTTATTAACAATTTTTCTTGTCTAGCGGTTTAGCACACCGCCTTATTTCCAATGGCCGCCGGTTTGATTCCTGGCTCGGCACAAATATTTGTATTCATAGATATGATTGTTTGTATCGGTCTGGGTGTTTTTATGTATAATATGTATGTATTTACGAACAAAATAATTATGTATTTGTATCTGTTATCTACTACCCATAACCTAGGGCTGTGTGAATTCCTCAGAGATTATTATTATTCAAAAATAATGAAACAAATTATTCATTTCAGCTTGGCTGTGAACATGTTTGCGGGAAGCATCATTTTGCAGCAGGACAAAAGCGCATTTCAAGCTGTCATCAATAACTGGTAAGGCGAACAGCTGTATGGGCTTAGACTCTTTGCCTTTCCTATAAGGGAAACAAATTTCTATAAAAAAAAAAAAAGAAAAAAAACTAGTGCGGCGAAAAATTGTTTTACAATTATTGTACGGAAAAAAATAAAATAATTCTATCATTTCAGTACATATATAAAAATAAAAATTGTTCATTATGGTTTATTAAATTTGTTTAATTTATCTGTGATACACTACTCTGTACGTTTTCGATTGAAATTGGATTACATTGTATTTTTCATTAGTTTTGTATACCTTTTTGGGATAAAATAGCGGATGAAAGTTTGTATGAAACTTTGTTAATTTTAAACCGATCGGGCTGAGACTTTGCCTGCATAAAGCTACTATGACGTAGGCATCCCCTAAGAAAGGATTTTGATAAATTCCTCCCCTAAGGGGATAAAATTTTGTAGATTTTCGACTGATTGAACTGAAATTTAAGATTGGAGCTACTACGATGAAGACGTTCGCTTAAATAGGATTTTGATAAATTGAACCCCATGGGGATAAAATAAGGGATGATGCAGGATGTAATTGTATTAGCACAGATAATATAATATTGAACCTGTCAGCTTCTAATGGAACGAACAAATTAATTTTTAGTTTTTTAGGCTACTTTTATTTTAGATAAATAAAGCTAAATTCCACGCGGACAAAGTCGCGGGAACAACTAGTAAATTATATACATTCTTTATTGCACTTTTAAAGAGTAGAAAACTTAATTATATACAAAATGGGCAAAGGTCTTATCTCTAAAAGAGATCTCTACCAATCAACCTAACAGCGGCTGTATGGGCTTAGACTCTTTGCCTTTCCATTACGGATAAATAAAAAAAAAAAAAAACCTAACAGTGTGACATAGCTAGTAGTGAGTGGGTATTTATGTGGTGCGGTGTTCCAGGTGCGGAGGTGGCAAGCAACCATGGCGTTTGATATTCCGCGCGTCGTCTCATGGCTACTCAGCGCAGGCGTTCCACTCGCATTGTGATGGACACGCGCCCGTGCTACTGTTGGCGCAGGTAAATTTCACCCTCGATCCAGCGACTCCGGCCATAGGCGCTTCGTCGGGATACCTTGGAGTTTTTAGTGAGTAGGAGTCTCACAGTAACCCTGGCCTACCCCCGGGGCCAGCGGGTCTCCATGAGGGATTTTCTCCAAGTAAAAAAAAAAGGTAAATTTCACCCTATAGGGTAATAATGCCTTCGGCTCATCTTCAATATCATCATCATCATTTCAGCCCTAGGTCCACTGCTGAACAATGGCCTCACCCAAAGATTTCCATTCCATTGGCTCATCTTAGCTTAATAACCTTAGAGCAGATGGATGGTATAAGGGGTCCGGATGGGACTCGTCCTGGCCGTAAAACATCGCGTTGGTGGCCCACACCTGCCGTGACTCAGTCTTGCGGATTGGCCATGTCTCTGAGTGGCCGGCAGTCTCAGGGTTTTTTTTATGGATGATAATGAATGATGCATTCGCCTGCGCTAACGGTTTACGCTGGCTAGGCACCAGTGAAGGATGATAGGAAGTTAGGTCAGTTAGCACACCGTGACGAATATATAACGCATATCTAGTACAATACTGGTGAATATCATAAATTTAATTTTTTTTAAAATAGACTTTATTACTACATTTAAAAAAGTGGACTTTCCAAAATTTGTAATTTTTGAGTTAAGCCAGTATTATAATAAGTGTAATAAGTATTATAAAGTTTGAGATTATCAGTTTATTTTTTAAATTTTGTCACTAAATTATAACCTGGATGAGAAATGCTGAAGATGGTCTAGTGGCGTGCCTTGCAAGAAGTGCCCAATGGCGTGCCTTGATTGAACCCTATATCCAGCAGTGGACTGGGTGATGATGATGATGATGGTGAGTGGTGATGCAGATGTCCCGCAATTGGGTGGACCAACGACACGCGTAGGTTTGCAGATAATAACTGGATGAGGAAGGCTGAAGATGGTCCAGTGCCGTGTCTTGATTGAGGCCTATGTCCAGCAGTGATCTGATGATGATGATAGTGTGTGGTGGTACAGGTGTACCGTAGTTAGGTGGAGAGACGACATACGTAGGGTTACGGGTAATAACTGGATGAGAAAGCCTGAAGATGGTCCAGTGCCTTGGGAGCGGCCTATGTCCAGTGAACTGCAGTGGATGGTGATGATGGGTGATGATGATGGTGCGTGGATGTGCAGGTGTCCCGCGGGGAGGTGGTGGGCGGGTACAGCGAGGTGTCGTGGGCGGCGGGCGGCGCAGGAGGTTACACTGCAGCTGACCACGCGTTCCTGTTCTCCCTCCCGGCCGGGGGCTCGCAGGCCACTACTGCCACTCCTCAACGGTTCCCGCTCGTGAAGAAAGCCTTCGCACTATGCTATCACCCTGAGTGAGTATCATTACCATTACTGTGGGGTACACAATTAAAAGATCTTCGATTTTCAAAATGGACTGTATTTCAATTTGTTTCTTATTCTATGGGTCGGCCGGCCGGAGTGGGGTTTTCTTGGTCGTTGCGCCGGCGGTGGTTCTTCGTCGGTGGCGTATGCGTAAGAGAGCGCGATCGAGAACCAACCCGCCTTTTACGGGCGCCCGAGCGCGTCCTTCCCCACCCCCGCCGAGCCGTGCGCGTCGGCCGTCCCACCCTCCCGACAATTCCTGCACATGTCGGTGACCGACGGGCCGGAACAGCGAATACGCACACATTTAAAATTAAATACAATAGTAACAACACAAAAAACTACAAAAAACCACGTGCGACTAAATGCCACATGTTCAGGCTACACTAAAGCTGTGATCCCTAAGAATTTACACAATGGGCGGACATAGAATTCACAGTATCTATGCCGCTACAAAGGGTATATGGTACAAACAATAGTCTAACCTAAACAATAGTCAAAACACTGGAAAAATACAAATTTATACACAAATTTATTTACATATTTTCGATGCCGACTCGTGGTCCGCAACAGCCTCCCCCCGGCGCAGATCTTCGCAGCCCTTATCCCTAGGGAGGACCACCAGCCTTCGGGTCGGCCTTCGAAAAATTCCCTCGCGTTCGTCCGTCCGTCCGCGTTCACCGCAACGCCACTTGACCCATTTCCCCGCTTCAGCGGGGCGCTCCCGGCCCAGCTTCCATGCCCGTCGCCTGTATTCTTCTGCGAGCAGCAGCACCTGTGCCGGGGTCCTCCTCACTCGGTCATATGAGGAGAACCGCATTCTGTCCATTACGGGCTTTGCCTTCGCCCGGGCACGGGCTACTGTCTCTGCAGGGACGGGCTTGCTTTCCTTGGGTCGTTCTTTCTCTGGAGCGTATACAAGCGCCGGCCCGACGGATCTGTCGGCGGCGGTCCGTATTGTATATCTCGCGCGGGTCGCGTCGTTAGTTACGTCGTGGGCGGTCGGTACCCAGCGCCACTGTGTTGGTTCTGTATGTTCGGCGCTTTCTGCCATCCGGCGGGCCGCGTGTGGATTGTATCGAGCGGTGTCGTTCCTAGTCCAATGTAGCGTCTTCTTCGAGACCGTCCATAGGAAGACTTCGGCCGCGCGACGACGTCCTTTCAGTACGTCAGCGGCCAGTCGGGGTCCTACCAGGCTCGCCTGAAGCTCCATCCGGGGTATACTCTGCGCTTTCATGGGCGCTACCCTCGCTTTGGCTGCTACCAGGACGACGTTAACGCTACGATCCTCGCGTTCCGTCCTCCAATACGCGGCTGTGGCATATGCCTGTTCGCTTGCGTCCGTGAATACGTGCAGTTGCGACCGTTGGCTGTCGTTCGTGCCATACCATCGCGGCAATCTCAGTTCCTCTATATAGGCTAAGTCATCTCTCCATTCCTGGAACATCCGCGCTTCCTCGGCGGGCAGAGGGTCATCCCATTCGACCTTCTGCACCCACAGCGCCTGCAAGATGATTTTTGCCGTGATGGTGTAAGGGCTCAGCAGCCCGAGCGGGTCGAACAATGACATCACCGCTCCTAGGGCTTCCCTTTTCGTCGGTATCCGTGTGCCGTGCTTCACTTCTCGTGGGACGCGTGGCATGCCGGTGTTGAACGCCAGCTGGTCTTCGGCTGACATCCACAATAACCCCAATGTCTTTCCGTATGGATGTGCGTTGGCTCCCAGTTCCTTCGGCGTCCTCGCTCGCTGGTCCTCACTCACATTCTCTAGCAGGCTCGGTCGGTTTGTATTCCAACCCGCCAGCGTGAATCCTATCCCGCCATGAACCTCTGCTACCTCTCGTATGGCGCGGGCTGCTTCCTCTTCGGAGTCAAAGCTATCGACCCAGTCGTCCATGTAGTGGTTCCTTGTTATGGCGGTGTACGCTGACGGGTGCGACTCTCGGTGCTCTGCCGCGTTCCTGTCTCGAACGCTGTGTGCGATGAACGGTGAGCTCCTCGCCCCGAAAATCATTGAGGTCATTACGTATTTCTGCGGCGGGTTAATCCTGTCATCTCCTCGCCACAGAAACTGTTGTGCTGCTCTATCTTCTTCCCGTATCTTAATCTGCAGGAACATCTCTCGTATGTCCGCCGTGATAGCTACGGGCTTCTCGCGGAAACGGTATAACACACCGTTAAGCGACCGTAGCATATCTGGCCCATCCAGCAGTGCGTCGTTCAAGCAAATTCCCTTCGAACGGGCCGCGGCGTCGAATACGAGTCGCAGCTTTCCGGGTTTATTCGGATTCGTCACTCCGAAATGGGGAAGGTACCACGCGCGGTCGTTGTCGAACCGGTCGTCGGTTACTTTCTCGGCGTAACCCTTGTCCAACAACTTGTTTATCTCCGCGGTATACGCCAGCCGGAATTCCGTAGAGCGATCCATCCGCCGCTCTATTCCCCTCAGTCGGCTCGCTGCCATGTCGTAGCTGGGAGGTAGAATGACGTTATCTCTCTCCCACGGCAATCCTACGACGTATCGCCCATCCACTCTCGTCGCTGTGCAGTTGAATGTGGCGACGGCGCGCTCCTCCTTAGCGATGGGTAATCTCTTCGACGATATACCCAACGCGTCGATGTCGTAATGCGCTTTTATTATGCCCTCTATATGCCGCATGTCTGGCTCGGCGTTGCGCTGTGTCAACCGCACGTGGAGGACATGTTCCTCGTCTTCCACGACACTTCTGGGTACCGTTCCGTGGATGACCCATCCCAGTCGTGTCAGCGACGCTGCGGGTTGATCGTGCCTTCCTGTGAGCAGCTTCCGCGTAACAATCAGATGCCAGTTGTCTGACCCGATCAAGACCTTGGGTCTGGCATCTTCGTAGCACACTTGCTCGCAAGTGAGTTGTCGCAGGTGTCCGTACGCGAGTATTTCCGGGTTCACTCGCTGCGTTCCTAGGGTGAGATCCCGGATCGTACGCGCCCTCACCGAGTGTTCTTCGTCCGTATGGTGTCGCCCTCTGATGATGACATCAGCCACTCGGCTTGAGGCTTCGTGCCAGCTCGAGGCCGCTCCCTGAATTCTCAGAGATCGCGTCGGACCTTCGGCTCCGATCTGTTCTGCGATCTCCGCATCGATGAGTGTAACCGTCGAGCCTTCATCTAGCATCGCGTACGTCTCTACTTCGCGTCCCGTCTTGCCTTTCACGATGATGGGACACACCTTTAACAACACTTGGCTGTTCTCTGGCAAGCGTGCTGCGGCTGTAATCGCGGTGTCCTCTTGCCGCTTCGGCGGTTCTTCTGGGGGTGCAGCAGGGCGTGGTGTGGCTTACGACACTCTCTCACACCACATTTGCGTGCCTTACACTTGAGCCTTCTGTGCGTGCTGTTCATGCATTGGAAGCACATCTTATTTGTTTTCGCCCACTCCCATCTGTCCGATAACGACATGTCGTTCAGCTTCTTACACTTCGGCGTTACGTGTGCGGCGCCGCAACAGAGACATTCGGTACTCTGTTCGCTCTTTTCTACGGCGGCGTATACGGCCGCGCCACGATCCGTCATCTGTCGCCGAGGTGCCGACATCGTTGCTTTCGGTATGGGTTGCTTCGTGGGCTGCTTCGTGGGTAGCGCGCTCGTTCGTCTCGTTGGTGATGCTATTCGCAGATGTCGGGTCATGAGATCGGCTTCGCTCATTAAAAACTCTGCCATCTTGATGATCGTAGGTCTAGTGTCCTCCTTGTTTTTTTCAGCGTAGTGACACCAGTGGACCTGTAAGTGAGGGGTCAGCTTCTCTGACACTTCACTCTCAAGCGCGGGATTATGTAGGAATCTCGCCCCCCTGTCGATATCCGCGACGATGGTGGTGATGTTCTGTAGTTTAATGGCGAAGTCAATCACCTCTGTTGTCGATGTTCCTATTACCGGCATCCTTCTCAGATCTTTGAGGGCGCGGTCGATGATGGCCTCTGTCCGGCCGTACCGCTGCTCCAACGTCCTCATGATCTGCGACGGTTCTGTAGCGGATACGAGTAACGCTGCGACTGTCTCTCTCGCTTTTCCACGTAAGCAGGCCCTCAGCCTGGCCAGGTTCTCCGCTGGTGTGATCCTGTACGTTTTTGTAGACTGGTCTACGGCCGCCTTAAACGCTAGCCATTCACTTGCTTCGCCGCTGAAGGTCGGGAGATCTTGGGCTTGCCTCGGCGCTACCCTATCCGCTCGTTCGTCCACAGCTCGTTCAATAGCTTTGGCCAGCCGGGTGAATCCTTCTTGCATCCCGGCTTCAGGAGCGGGGGACCTCCGTCTTTGCTTCGGCGTCCTCGGCGGTGAAGCTTGCCTTTCTGTTGGCTCTTTCTGCGTAGGCGGTGGGGAATTAATTCTCTGCTCCCCCCGTACTTCGGTACGTTGAAACCAATCCGTTATACGTTGCAGGCCGGCACCTTCCTCGGAGCACACGCTATCTCTATCGGTCTCTTCATGTACCGCGGCGACATCGGCTGCCAACTTCTTTCTAATTAAATCAGCCTGTAATTTCGCCATCTGTAGCGCTGCCTCGTACTCCAGCCTCTTTAATTTAGCTATACCGCTAGCGGTGGAGCGGCGCGATCGCACCGACGCGGCCCGGGCCGGACGTACATCTGTCGTCGGCGGCTGCGACGGTGGCGCCGGTGCGGAGTCCGAGGTAAACGCGGCGCGGGCGGCTTGTGCCTGTGGCGCGCTCGACGGCGCGGCGGACGCGGACATCTGCGTGGTTTCTGAAGGGGACGCTTCTGTCTGTTCATTTTCCCGCGTGGTCTTTTTCTCTGCTCCCGGGGCTTGGCTTCTCGTAGTCGGCATCGTGTTCTGGCACTTGCAAGCCCCTAACCTACCGGTCCCTACCTACCTAACCGTCCCTAACAATCCCTCAGGATAACACCCGAGGGGATGGACTATGGGGATAGGAGGGTAGGAATTACCCCGCAGTGGTGCGTATGTACAGACGGGGCGCTCAGGGCCGGTTCGGACTTTCCGACCCCTTTGGCAGTGCCTACAGTCCGGCCCCCGCTATACGATACACACGTACAGGCGTAATAGTGCTATTCGGTTGCGCCACGGTAACAAGCAACAACCGGCAGTGACACACCACTCACTGCACCGCTCAATGGCGTTAACCCACACTCCGACCGTTTGACACCGTTAGGTGGTAAGAGATGTGAGCCGCGGACACACCGCTTAGACGTTATCTATCCTATATGGCGTAGACGTTATTTATCCTATCCTCGCTGCACCCTCAAGTTTTCACCTTACGACGGCAGCTAAATTCGGTAAGCTGCTAGCGTCGCACCGTTGGGTGATCTTCCTCGGCGAGGTACGTCGCACCGTTGGGTGATCTTCCGCGGCGAGGTACGTCGCACCGTTGGGTGATCTTCCGCGGCGATTCGTCGCACCGTTGGGTGATCTTCCACGGCGATTCGTCGCACCGTTGGGTGATCTTCGGTCTTGATATCCGGCTCGAAGGACCACAAAATTGTGGGGTACACAATTAAAAGATCTTCGATTTTCAAAATGGACTGTATTTCAATTTGTTTCTTATTCTATGGGTCGGCCGGCCGGAGTGGGGTTTTCTTGGTCGTTGCGCCGGCGGTGGTTCTTCGTCGGTGGCGTATGCGTAAGAGAGCGCGATCGAGAACCAACCCGCCTTTTACGGGCGCCCGAGCGCGTCCTTCCCCACCCCCGCCGAGCCGTGCGCGTCGGCCGTCCCACCCTCCCGACAATTCCTGCACATGTCGGTGACCGACGGGCCGGAACAGCGAATACGCACACATTTAAAATTAAATACAATAGTAACAACACAAAAAACTACAAAAAACCACGTGCGACTAAATGCCACATGTTCAGGCTACACTAAAGCTGTGATCCCTAAGAATTTACACAATGGGCGGACATAGAATTCACAGTATCTATGCCGCTACAAAGGGTATATGGTACAAACAATAGTCTAACCTAAACAATAGTCAAAACACTGGAAAAATACAAATTTATACACAAATTTATTTACATATTTTCGATGCCGACTCGTGGTCCGCAACAATTACATAGTATAAAACAAAGTCGCTGTCGCTGTCTGTCGGTCCCTATGTATGCGTATATATTTTATTTATTTATTTTTTAAATAAAAAGTATCCTATGTTCATTCTAATACTTTCAAGGTCATTTGTACAAAATTTCATGATGATCGGTTCAGTAGCTATTGCGTAAAAACATACCTACTATCATTTATAATATTTTGTCTCGTTCATTACTTTTAAATTTTATTATTCTACTAGCTACCCGCCCGGCTTCGCACGGGTTTTTTGATAGATAGAGTGATTCAAGAGGAAGGTTTATATATATAATAATTGTTAAAGTCTGTGTTCGAATTGAAAATATATTAATATATAGTAATGAATGAGACAAAACGGTCTAGAACTCAGTGGGGGCAGTGAGTCCACCCTCTCTGCTATTCTGTTATAGCCTTTAAATAAAGCCAGTAAATTAATACAATAAGAGATTAATATTATACTAGCTGTATTCACGACTTCGTCCACGTTGAATTAACTTTATTTTTCTAAAATAAAAATAGCCTATGTTACTCCTCATTACATCAGCTACCGGTTAAAAAAAAATCCCGTCAAAATCAGTCTAGTCATTTCAGAAATTAGCCGGAACAAACAGACAGACAGACAAAAATTGTAAAAAATGTTATTTTGGTGTATATACCGTATTTATATTCATATGCATGTTTTAAAAAATGGTTATTTCAATATTACAAACAGACACTCCAATTTTATTTATATGTATAGAAGAGATTTTTTTTTTATTTCAGTTGCGGTCCGATCTTCGGTGCCGGCGCAGACCTTCTGATATCAAGTAATTGCAACTCCAACACGGAGAGTTACAGCAACCTGCACTCGTACGGCGACCCGGAGTCGTCCGCCACACTCGTCTCTGATTACAACTTTACCGTTAGGGACTACGAGATATTTACATACAAGCACAATTAATATTTTTTATATTACTAAACAACATGTCCACGCCTAAAATGGAGATAAGGTTGGCAACACTGTACGAGTGTTGCCCCCTTTTTTTGACACATTGTTGTGAGCGCTCTCTGTACAAACTCAATGAACAATAAACGATTTAAAAACTTGTAACTCTTTTATATCAAGTAATGATCGCAATGATCATTTGGCGACCGTGACAAATTATATGAATTTATATTGTTAATTAAAAAACTTAAAAAATACTTATATAGTTAAAAAAAAAAATTGTTTACATAAACTATTAATATGTATGTGCTTATTTTTTACTATTCGGGCTTAATTTAAGGTTTATTGTATTTTATAAAAGATAATTCAAAATTAATCTTACATTTTTATTCACAATTAATTATATCAAGTCTTATAAGTCGAATAAACAATATCAATTAAAATTATATTATATTACGATATCAGTACGCTATGATGGTTATAACACACGAGCCGGAATCGAAGGTGTGGGCGTAATAGAGCCAAGTGTGTTACACTTGGCTCTATTACGCCTTAATACGCATTAAGGTGTGGTTAACCAAAATACGCATGCAGTACATCGAACGTTTTTCAAAACACTTGATTTTAAATAAACTCAACCAAAAACTGTGGTACATTGTTGCTTTCCCACCGTTTTACTTTTTTAAAATCAACGCGCTTTTTCTACTGACGGGCTCCACGAGTTTGGTCAGTACGATTTTTAAAAAAAATTGCTGTGGTTATCAAATATAATTTCACTATTTGAGTTTAACGCACTTGTATTTTATGAGCTGATTTATATATCGAAAAGCGTGAATTTATACTTATCTATTTATCGAGTACGTGTGTTGAAAATATAATAACTTAAGTATAAGAAAATATATTTGTTATACGTACCTTAATATTGCGTTTAGTGCATTCATATTGTATCAGCTGATTTATATATTGAAAATTGGTGAAATTATATCCAGGGGCGGATCTATTTAAAGTTTTTTTGGGCTGCAGCCCAGGGCCGAGGATACAAGGGGACCCCAGTCCCCACTGAAACGTTATTTAGAATAAAAAAAATATCTAGAATGTTCAAAAACCTATCATAAGGTTGGCAACCCTGAGATCAATCAACCCATGCAAGTGCGCGTCTATCGAAAGGAACGGGAAATTACTGGTCGCTTGTTTTTTGGTTGAAAGAAAGAACGAAAGAAAGAAAATTGTTTATTTGGTACACTGAAAATAATTTTGAAATTTAATTTACATTTTATATTAATAATTAGAGTACCCACAGAGTTGAGTAATATAATTAGGTAGGCCCCTAAGTAGAGTTAGCTCAGGACCCCACAAATTCACGATCCGCCCCTGATTATATCCACTTTACGAATAAATGTGTTGAAAATATATACCGATAATCATCAAAATATGTTTGTAATACATAATTCCGTAACAGCGCCCTCTGTTAGACATCTTGAAATATACAAAGAGGTAAATTTCCTTGCTTTATCAAAAACGTTATTTAATTTTAGGCATTGCCAACAGATGGCGCTAGTATATACAAGTTTGTTTGAACAAGTCAGTGTTAGCGATTAAACCAGTCTTATTTTCGATGGTCTCAAGTTTGATTCCTCGGACAGTACAAACATTTTTTTTAAGGGATGGAAACGGAATTGTTTAGCAGCCTACGCTCACGGTATACATATGTTGGTGAGGCACCAGTGGAGGTTATGTATGAGGTGAGGTCCGTTAGCCCATCGTGGCTAATTACCTAGGAATTTAACATGATAGTTTCCAGGTGGACTGCGTGGAGGTCAACCTGAGATGGTAGACTGCTAGCAATGCGGTCATCAGCCCACATTACTAGCAATTTCCTTCCCCCCAGTCTTCTGCCGTTCAGTCTTTAAAGGATAATGACTAGACAGACAGACTATTTATAATATGGATTGAAATTATATTGACTACCTCGGTGGTATAGGGATTTAGCACACCACCATCATCCGATGGTCGCCGGTTCGATTCCTATCAAAACAATATATTTTTTATACTCTTACAACTGCTTAAAAATAAGAATAAAATTATTTAAAAGAGCAACACGCAAGTTTCTTGCTCACTCTTCTTGTGATGAGACAGCTTTCCGAATGAGCGGTAGATTGAAAAAAAAAAATTGTTTAAATGATTTTCTATTCTATTCTATTCTATTCTACTGTTTTCACAGGTTTCACAGTATTGTTAGTAATATCGATTGTGGTGAATGGGAAATGGCCATGCAGCGCCAGCGGAGGGTACCTGACCAGAAGTTCGCCAGAGTGGGTTACCCTGACTTCACTTGGGGAGAAAGGGATTTCGTACAGTGCACTAATAGTATATTTCTAGCTCTGTATCAAATCAGGTTGACCTCCGCGCGGTTCCCTCTGAAAACAAGACAAACTCCTGGCGAATTTGCCACGGTAAACTGACCTGACCTCATGCTCATCTTATCCTCCACTGGTGCCCCGCGTAAACTGTTAGCGCAGATAAGTGCACTGTTGCGGGTGAATAATAAGATGTTGTTGGTCGAGACGATGTATATTACATGATGATGATAAACTGACAATATGTACATAGAAATAATGATCTTATATACTAAATAACAATAGGAAAATGTAAGGTGGGGTGACACAGTTTAGATACAGCAGTGCCTAGTACACAATATTGAATTTCTTTTACTAGACATTATTAAATGCAATTATTATTTTGATGTATCTAGGTGACTGTGTCCCATATGCACCATTACAATATCATCGATTTAAAAAAAACTGCTGGACTTGGAAATTTTCTACATCCTATAGTTTCCTTTTTACCTTTACCATCCAACCGTAACCGTTTAAAAATAGCCAAGCTACTAATATTGACGTGCCAGATGACTTTATACAAGCTGTACCTCGGTGAATCTAGATTAGTTCTAGATTTAAGTAACGTTGTTTTTTTGTACACGCTCAGTACAGAATAGTCTTGCGCATAGTAGTTCACGACTGGGATCTCTCAAAATAGTTCGCAACTCTTGTGAACTAGAACTTTCGCTCCTAACTCGAGTAAACTGAATGCCAGATTGCTAATTTTATTTATTTATTTTCACATTTTTATTTTACACAATAAAATAATACTACTTATTGTTAAGAATTAATTAATTTTTAATAATAAATATTGTGTCATATAAGACAGCCTCGGTTTAGCACACCGCTTTACTATCCGAAGGTTGTGGGTTCGATTCCTCGCACGATACAAACATTTGTATTAATGAGTGTGATTGTTTGTATCGGTCTGAATATTTTCTATGTATAATATGTATGTATTTACAAAAACAAAATGTACCTATGTATTTGTATCAGCTATCTAGTACCCATAACACAAGCTTTAGCTAGCTTAACTTGGGTCTAGATGGCGCTGTGTGAATTGTCCTGAGATTATTATTATGGTCGAATTTCGATCACTATATTAATAATTACACTACTAATAATTACTAAATTTTTAAACATTTTCCATGGATTTTTCTCATGTGTTTTTGTGTTCTATTCAAACGAACTAAAGAGCGAAAGACCTACGAACTAGTTCGCGCTGCTCGTCTCAGTGATCGCTCTACTAGTCCGCATTAGTTCGTGAACTACACAAGCCCAGTAAAAACCCTGAACTTATAGTAGAAGCTTGACTAATCCGCGGAACGGGAACAACGCAGTCGTAACTAACGTTTACACCCCATTTCCTGCAGAAAACAGTAATATTATTGAAAAAAAATTCACACAAACGTCGACATTTCGAACTGTATCTGTAATGAGCCGATCATTTTGCATTTGATTCACTTATAAATCGGTTGAGTTGCTTTCGGGATCGATTTATTGAGGCATAGACGGGATTCCCAATGTGTTTCTCTAATATTTATAGAAAAGAACTATAATTGCGTTCAGCCTTATTTAATACTAGCTGTACCCGCGGAATCGTCCGCTTAAAATAGTGATCTTGACCAAATAATTAAAAAATATTTAGTAGGTAAACCTAATTTTATTACGACGACGAGTGTGCATGGCAATAGTTGTTCATGCACTGAATTTTCATTTAATGTTAGACATAGACACATATATAAAAATACATTGTAAATAAACTGGCTTTAAAAAAAAAGTAATTCAATTGAGTTTCTTGCCAGTTCTTCTCAATTGGATCTATATACTGAACTGGACGGTAGGGAAAAATAAAATTATAATGTAAAAATATGACGTTCATAAGCGGCTAAAATGTTCTACATGAATAAATGATTTTTGAATTTTGAATTTTAATAGAAGCCAAATGAAAAAGTTTCATCGTTCTAGCTTCAATAATGACGAATTTATATACAGCTCAATCAACAGCTCAAAAAATAAGTTTCAATCTGCTAACTTTGAAAATAACGATACTTCCATACAAACTTTTAACGAAGAATCATTTATTAATAATCTTTTACGAAAAGGTTTATTAGGGGTTGAAAGGGAGATGCCCTTTCAACCCCTTAAAAACCTTTTCATCATTTATATTTAATTAAAAGCCTAAAAAATTTCAACCCTTAAAAACCTTTTCGTTTATATTTAATTAAAAGCCTAAAAAATAAGTTACTGGTTCTAGGTTTAAAAATTAAGATAGATCCTTGCATCTCCCCTTTCAGCCCCTTACAACCCTAACTTCGCTTTAAAAAGCAGTCTGTCTTTTCTCGGGGTCTAGATTAAGTGTGTACCAAACTTCATTTAAATCAGTTCAGTAGTTTTGACGTGAAGGCGAGACAGACAGACAGAGTTACTTCAGCATTTGTAATATTAGTAAGGATTATAAGTCGTAACCAATGACTTTATTTTACTTTTTTAGATAATAAATAGCCGTCCTCACTATACAGTCGTTTGCATTTTTTTATTGATGACTAGCTGTTCTCGCGACTTCGTCCGCGTGGAATTTAACTTTAGTTTTCTAAAATAAAAGTAGCCTAAGTTACTCCTTATTACATCAGCTACCTGTCAAAAGAAGTCTCG